GAGAGCATTCCAAGTGGAAGGAGCAGCAGTTGCAAAGGCCAAAGCAGGTATTAGCTTGATAGAATCAGGGATTGGGTGGGGCTCAGATAGCAGGAATGTGTTAAGTGAAAAGTCAGAGCTAGTCCTGACAATAATGTGGATTTGCTGAATGTGTTGTAGGGATTTTCTTGGGGGGGGAGGGGGCAGAGGGAAGAAAGTATGGCCTATAGAATATTTCTGACAAACTTTTCAAACGTGAAAATGCAGTGCTGAAGAACATGCAGTACTAAAATGGCATTAACATCACATAGAACATCTACTTGAGCATAAAATTCAGTTTCCCATGTCTCTTGCTTCTCTCAAGCTCTCATTTAGGTCATGTGCCTCATGCAGACTCAGTGTCATGCACAGTTAAGACACTTACAGTTCAACAATGTCAAGATGAAGATTCAAGGAACCCTGTACTTCATCATGACCTGATTAAGCCTTCTAAAATAAATGCATGGTATCAGCACTGATGCCAAGCAGCAGGTGCTGGTGAATCAGTGAGACATGGTCCAAGACCAGAGTTGGGCCAGAGGGCCAGCATACAGGCCATGTTGTGTGTGTGGCCATGGATCTGGGATCAGCGCACACAACCAGAGTGATTGAGTGGGGTGCTAGACAGAGCTGCCTACGTGTTTCTGCTTCAAAGCATCTAGACTCATTTTCAGAATGGGAGTAAATTAAGCTTAAACAGCTTCAATATGGAAGGTAAAGAACATCAGGGGCCAGGAAATATATAGCTCTGATTCCTCAGAAAGTTCCTTCCCAGGTCTGGGTCATGGTGGCAACAGCAGACTCAGACTTTGGCTGGCTTAGCTGAGAGGAGAGGAGCCATTTTGGGAAGATGGTGGTTAAGTTGACCAAAGAGAGACATTTAGTTCAGATAAGGGGAGATCTGGACTTACTATAGACTCTCATTTGTAAGAACTTAACTCTTCTAGGATGTCTGAATTTCTCCTTTGTTCTGAATTATGTGTCAGTTTTTATATTTAATTCTTACAGGATAACTTACTGTTATTGCCTTGGTTATGGAAAAATTGTATTGTTTGGACAAAACACAATCAGTACAAAAGTATGCTGTTTTTCATTTTATTAATCCCTACCTATGGATTCCTGTGCCAGACACCACTACTCATCTTTGGCAGTACCTGAATTTTTGGCACATCCCTGGGTTGAAACGAATAGTCTCTGAAGTGTTAACTTTGCAATCCTGAGCCTATAATAGGAAAGGCAAATTGTCATATTGGCACAAGGGACAGCAATTGCTGAAACAGACCCTTAGGGAACTTTCCTAGACCGGATGGATTAAGAGACAGAGATTTAGCTTGCAAAGTCTGCCACACTGAGTTGAGGTCGTGACACAACTCAAGACTTCTTGAAGGAAGAGTTAAAATCTCATTGGACTATAAAAACGACCATCTGCCTACAAGAGCAGGCACCAGTAAATTGCCAGTGCTGATTATGATAACGTCATGGAGACTGTACAAAGTCTGATCACATGCATCAGAAGTAACTTCCAAAAACATGCTTGTAGCTGGAGGGAAATGGATTTTTGATTCAAGACACACACATCAGAATGTCTGCATTTATAACATGCCTGACTATCATAATTCTGAAATGTTTATCTTTGTATATACTTACTAAAGGATACATATGGGGTGAAAGAATCATATTTTATAGGGGCGCCTGGGTGGCTCAGTTGGTTAAGCAACTGCCTTCGGCTCAGGTCATGATTCTGGAGTCCCAGGATCGAGTCCCACATCGGGCTCCCTGCTCAGCAGGGGGTCTGCTTCTCCCTCTGACCCTTCCCCTCTCATGCTCTCTGTCTCCCATTCTCTCTCTCAGATAAATAAATAAAATCTTAAAAAAAAAAGAATCATATTTTATAAAACTGAAAGATTACTAGGGAAGATAGACAAATAGATACTAGTGTGTGTCACTGGATAACTAACACCTACAATTCACTTTGTTGTGAATAGACTCACTCATTCCATAGTCTCTGAAGTAGTATTTCATGCTGCTGACTCTGGGCAGTAACCCAGGGGAGCAGTATGAGGAAGAGAGATGAGTGTGTCTCCATGGCCTGACCCTCAAAAAGCTCTGTGCTTCAATAGGGAACTCATTAATATCTTGCAATGCTCACAGCCAATGGACTATGGCTGTCCTTTTTGTCACTTATTTCTTTATAGCTTTCCTTGTGTGGTTTGTTTTCCCATCCAATGCTGGAAGATAGAAGCAAGTGAACTAAAGTTCTTTGGGAAAGATTCAAATGCTTAGATCTTGCAGTTTCTCTGAATAATGATCTCAGTTTGGCAGGACTCTCCAAGGTAGATGGAAAGAGGCTGATTATTTCCGCTAAGTTTAGGGAGATTTACTAAGACAGAAAGAAGACAACGATTCAAACTTCCATGAGCTGTGTTTTCATAAAACAAACTATCCAAGTCATCAATAAAAAGTCTTATAAATGTTAAGGCTAACAAAAATATTATGTAACAAAATGTGCATTTATATTTGTTTTCTATGGCTTAGAGTATATTTCTTTTTCAAAGATTATAGAAGTTTATTTGTTGTTTGTTCTTCCTTTGCTTTATTTGATGCCATGTTTTCAACCACAAATCATAAGATCGTTCTTATGAAGAAATAAGCTATTTTATGATGTTTCATTTCTTTTCTTTTTTTTTTTTTTTAAAGATTTTATTTATTTATTTGAGAGAGAGAGAGAGTGAGCACATGAGAGGGGGGAGGGTCAGAGGGAGAAGCAGACTCCCTGCTGAGCAGGGAGCCTGATGCGGGACTCGATTCTGGGACTCCAGGATCATGACCTGAGCCGAAGGCAGTCGCTTAACCAACTGAGCCACCCAGGTGCCCTCATTTATTTTCTATTCCCAGGCACCATATGGTAAAAATCACGACCCATCTGTAATTTTTTTCTGCTAAATTGGGGGGAGGGTCTAATTGCAGTGTGATGCTGTCTCTATTCTTTAAAACGTGACTATGTAATTCACTGTATTTATGGGTAGGGGCAAATGTAATACAAATGCATGTTATAGGTATACTGGTTTTGTTGCTGAAACTAAATGCTTGACTGGTACATTATGTGACATCCTTACCAGAGAGCCCTACACATATTAACCATAGGGGAGGAGGGTAGAGAAAGGAGGTGGGGAGAAAAAAAATACTAACAGTAAAAGCAAACTTTCTATTGTCTTATAGATCATGAAACACTTTTATATTATTTCATTTGATCAAACTACCCTGTGAAGTTAGTTTTATTAAATCATTTTGCAGATGTGGACATAAAGTGGCAAGAGCTTACATGACAAGGCTGCATAGACTATAGGTGGAGAACGTGGATGCCCATCAGGGCTTTAGGACTACAATTTTTAGAAAAACTAAGGGTGAACATGCGCAGTGTGATAAGAACAGGAGTTGATTTTGTTAAAGTTCCAGATTCAAATACACATAATTGAGTAGAAGTGTTTCAGAAAAGGCTCAAAACCAAGGAGTATTTACCAAGGTAGATTTGCTCACAGAATTTTCAGAATGGGAGATCAGGGCATAGCTTCGTCCTCCACAGTTCAGGCTTGAGGATGAGATCTGGAATGACCTCTCAGCAAGAATCTTGCTTTTTTAAAGACCTGAGAGTTGGAAGAGGTGTCTCTATGCCAGGAAGGGACAGAACTATGGATTGAGGGAAGAAAACTGAAAATGCCTATCAAAGTCATTGTGTTCACATTGGGGTTTATCAACCTTGGCAAATGACATCTTGGGTGGCATAATTTTTTGTTGTAGAGAATGGTCCCTGGCCTCTACCCAACAGATGTTAGCAGCATCACTCCTTCCTATCCCCACCTATGACTACCAAAATATCTCCAGACATTGCCAATGTCCCCTAAGGGGCCAAGCCGCCCCTGGTTGAGAACCATCATCTAAAATCAATCAAACTGAACTAGGTAGCCAAGATTTAAACTTCAAGTTTACCAACCTGCACATGGATTGCATCTCAGTGTTTGTTTTCTTCCCCCCTCACGCTGTTATAAAGTATTTTTAAAGCAATATGATCAAATTGCCAAATGTATGCTTACTGGGCAACCTTCTACAGATGTGTAGTATCAGGGAAAAATAAAAGGGGAAATTGTGGCCTTAAGGTAAAAGACTAGAGAAAAATTCTAGATTCTTGAGATGATGGAAGTAGAATATTACCCAAAGCAGAAATTTCCTTTAAGCTGTTGGTAGGCATGTAAAATGGTACAATCTTTTTGGAGGACCATCTGGCATTGACCTTGGTGTCAGAGGCTCCTTCTCTGATGTGTG